TACGGAGTAACTCATTCTCTACCTTGATTCTGCCCAACCTTATTCCACGCCTTCTTCTGCTAACAGACAAGTTTAGATCCCGAAAGGCTTCAAGTAGTTTCAGTTCTTCTATCATCAGAGTGGCAGTATGAAGAGTCTTACGGCTCAAGGCATCAGCTACTACATTTGCCTTGCCTGGATGATACTTGAGCTCAAATTCATAATCCTTCAAGAATTCCATCCACCGTCGTTGCCTCATGTTTAGTTCCTTCTGATTAAACAAATTCTTCAAGCTCTTATGATAGCTAAAAACATCACATTCCGAACCATACAGATAATGTCTCCAGATTTTTAGTGCGAACACAATAGCTGCCAACTCCAAATTATGAGTAGGATAGTTTTCCTCATGGGGCTTTAATTATCGTGATGCATAAGCTACAACCATATGGTCTTGCATCAACATGCAACCAAGGTCCTTTAGAGAAGCATCACAATACACTTCAAACTTTCTGGTTGGATCCGGAATAGTAAGCACGGGAGAACTGGTCAATCTACCTTTTAGCTCCAAGAAACATTCTTCACAAGCGTCAGTCCACTCAAAAGGCATTCCCTTCCGAGTGAGACGTGTGAGAGGCTGTACTAACTGAGAGAAGTTCTGGATGAATCTACGATAATAACCTGCAAGTCCCAAGAAACTCCTCACTTCTGTGACGGTCTTAGGTCGCTCCCAATTCATTACTGCTTCCACTTTGCTGGGATCCACAGCAATACCTTCTGTAGAAATTATGTGACCTAAGAACTGGACATCATTTAACCAGAACTGGACTTCATTTAACCAGATTTCACACTTCGACCACTTGGCATACAATTGTTTCTCTTTAAGGATTTGTAAGACTATTCTCAAATGTTCAGCATGCAGTTCTTCATTGGTTGAATAAATCAGAATGTCATCAATAAATACAATGACAAACTGATCTAAGAATGGGTGAAAGATACGGTTTATATAATCCATGAATACAGCCGGAGCATTAGTAAGTCCAAACGGAATCACCTGATATTCATAGTGACCATATCGAGTCCTGAATGCCGTTTTCAGAATGTCCTCAGGTTTAACCCGGATTTGATGATATCCCGATCGCAAATCTATTTTAGAGAACACCCTAGCACCTCTCAACTGATCCATCAGATCATCAATTCTAGGAAGCGGATATTTATTCTTTACTGTCACCTTGTTCAGTTGACGGTAATCCACACACAGACGTAAACTACCATCCTTCTTCTTGATAAGAATAGTTGGAGCACCCCATGGAGAAGTACTGGGTCTGATGAATTCTTTTGACAACAGCTCTTCTATTTGCTTCTTAAGTTCCCGAAGTTCCAGTGGTGCCATACGGTAAGGAGCAATGGAAATAGGTCCAACTCCAGGAAGAAGTTCAATAGGAAATTCGATCTCCCGATGAGGAGGTAATCGAGGAATTTCATCAGGAAACACCTCCACGAACTCACTAACAACATGAATATTTTGAAGTTGGGTGTCAACAGTATTCTCAGACTCAATTAACAACAAGTATCCTTCAGCTCCCCGAAGGAGTTCTTTTCTAACTTGCAATAAGGAAATAGTAGCAAAGAACTGAGAATTACCATCTTTAGAAGGAACGATGACCTTTCCTGCTTGACAATCCAAGGTTATTCCATTCTCCGCCAACCAGTCCATACCGATAGTCATCCCAAGACTGAATACCGGTAGAACCACTAAATTCACCGTATAAGTCCTTCCTTCAAACTGTAGAATACAACCCCTGCAGATTTCTGATGCAGTACAAGATCCTCCAGTAGGAGTACTGGTTTGTAACTCATAAGGTAGAGGAGTCGAGGTGAGACCTAGTCTCATTGCAGTGTGCCCCGCAATAAAAGAACCTGATGCTCCAGAATCAAAGATAACAGAAATAGGATAACCATTCAGAATTACATTACCTCGGATCAGATTCGGATACTTCTGGGCTTCATTGGCATCAAGAGTGAACACCCGAGCTTGAGTAGGAGCCTGATTCGCATTCTGTGGACAATCAGAAATGAAATGCCCCAGTTGTCCACACCTGTAACACAAATTATTCCCGCGTCGGCATACACCAGCATGATTCTTCCCACAAGTGGCACAAGCCGTGGGACCCTGTCGTCCGGCTGAAGATTGTCCAGGAGCATTATTCTTCTTAAAGTTCCCAGTCCGAGGTTGCAACTAAGGACCCTTGCCTCTATTCATTCCAGTAACCTTTCTGAAAAACCGGCCAACTTTACTTCATCCTTGTGATTGCACTGGCGGTTTAGACAAAGTCTTGGCTTCATTTATAATCTCTTTTGCTTGCCGACTCTGATTAATCAATTCAGGAAGAGTACGAATTGCTGAAGTCAAAACAAGCTTGCGAATCTCCGGATGCAATCCACTTTCATACTTTTCCATCTGCCATTCTTCATCATAAATGTTCCGATCAAAATTAGCATACTCCATCAGCTGTCCAAACTTTGCAATATATTCATTAACAGTCATATTATGTTGCCACAGTGCTAGAAGCTCCGTGTGTTTCATTCTCCTCATAACCTTAGGAAAATATTTGTCAAGAAAGACTCGTCTGAACAACTCCAAAGTAAGATCAACATGTTGTGCTCGAAGTAACGCCCTTGCACTAGTCCACCAAGTTAATGCTTCATCAATCAACTGATACGATGCATAGTCAACCTTGTGAGCTTTCGGACACCCCACACGTTCAAAGATGTGTTCAATCATCTGCAACCATCTTGCTGCCATCTCAGGATTATCTCCACCTTCAAATGTAGGTGGCTAAAAATTTTGGAAGTCTTTCAACCTCCGCCTAGCCATCTCCTTAGCGTTATCTTGCATCTGGGGTTGGTTAGGATTTTGATTTCTATATTCCCTCCACTCTTGATTCATATTCTGAACAAAAGTGGCCAACCCTCCAATAGTAGTGATAATATCATCAAGTGCATTGCCAGTCCTTCCCTGAGTAGATCCTCGTGTACCTGCCATGTTTCTGCACTCACAATACCATGAAATGAGCTAATGAGACTCACCGCAAGATATAAATGACAACAATTCCAAGTAGGTACTCAAGTTCTAATCAAAAGGCTAACAATAAATCGATTCTCATCACTGTATAATTCTAACATTTTACTTATACCTATTACCACAACTTAACAGAATAATTCGACACAGGCCGATCATAATTCAAACAATCCAACAGTTTAATTCTAACATACAGCAGCCAGCAAACAATTCAACAGTCATACTCAAACAGCAAACAATTCACAACCATATACAAACACCATGAATCAAAACTGCTCTGATACCATTTAGTGTGACACCCTCCCCTGTATGCATCCAAGGGAGATGCCTGCTAAATTTTATTAGAGTCGCAACGTTACCATAATTAATTCAGTAAATACACTTTGAAGTCAAGTGATAAAAACTTGTATTAAAATCGAACTACATAGGTAAAACAGCTAAGGATTTCATAAAAACTTGTAAAGCTGAAATCCTAAATTTTCAGAAAAGCTGTTTGTCTTACAAAAATCATATAAAATCGAACTTACAAGCTTTGGAAATGGAGTTTATATAATCTGAAAATAGACATCTGGGGCTTTACATACATATAAAATGCATTACATTTGGAGACCTGTAGTTCCGTAAACAGAACTCGCAAGATGCATGCTAAATCAGAGTCAAAATCCGAATTTAAAAACATGCTGAATTTATTTTCGAAAAATTTAGTACCCTAGGCTAATTGAACTCAGAATGCTTCCAATAAAAATTCAACTACACAGGATCCAATTACAATAACGATTAACCCTCATTGTCTTACACATATTTAGCCAACTAAATCAAACTCTGTAATCAGAAAACTTAGCATGTTAGGGACTGAAATCCTGATTACTTAGCAACAAGTTACATAGTTATATAAGTTCCATTCAAAACATAAAATCCATGCGACAACCATGTTCTACAACAAGACATACACGATTTTCAAATATGTCAATCTTCAAACTACTACATCATGTTCAAAAGTACAACACTCCATTCAGCCAAAAACAGTGAACACACGTAGCATGAGCAAACAACATGGACTTAAACAGAAATTTTTCCCAGACAAATACTCCATCAAATACTTCTTCGTCCTCCTGCAATTTTATAAAATTGAGCCCCAAAAAGGGGTGAAAAATTCCCAGTAGTGTGATAGAAAATCCAATAATGCAACAGTATTAATTTAGATACAGAATTTCCAAAATTGTCACATCATCAAATAATTCCCGAACAGATAACAAAATGCAACAGAATGCGTATATAATGCCAGAATATTGTATGTTCATAGCAATAAAGTGCACATACTAACCAACTAAACTCAATGGAGATTCCATTTGGCCCTAACAGAGGGGAATTCCAATTGAGGCCTATGCGAACTGAGCCACGGTTCCTTCTCCCTGGTACCTGAGGGATGCCTATATGATGCATGCTCAAACATATGCTTCATTTCATCAAATATTTCGGTTTCCAAAACTGCATGTATAATGATGTATGAAATGCTATGTTTTGCTTCGCACACACATGACAAAATGCGGATTTATGATGTTCATGAGCATGACCAGAATTCAGAATCAGAAAATCATAGTTCTCATGGACTATGACACCAAAATTTCGAACTGAATGTGTCTCCAAAACATAATTCCAACAAGTTACCTTCAAGGTCAGATTACACATGCTTTCAAACAAAATTTCATGGAGACATGAGAGCAACAAATCAAAAATCCATGACCTAAATTAATAGTCACAAAAGGTTAATCCACCAAACACTTACCTTGATGCTTTAGGGTCTTAACCTCAACATCATCAAATCAGTACACTTTTTATTTAGAGGCTTGTGCACCTAATTAACAAAATACCCAATCAGAATTCTCATCTATTTTTCCTATAAAACACATGTAATTTCCATTCCTCCTAATTCTTGGGTTTAATCGGATTTCATGGTTCTTATACTAAATGATTTTTTTGTCTTAAGATTAATTTACCAAAGGTTATCAAGTGACACAGCCATAAATTCCTATGCATGTATTTCGATTTTAAGACCATCACCTAGGGGTTCTGTTTTTCTTTTAACCTAACACTACTTACATGGCTTAGGCATGAGTTAATAGGCTTTTAGCATGTTGTCTTCCTCATTTTTAACACATGCAAAGCTTAATAATTTTTGCTAATCCAAGGGGCAGTCCCGAACATTAAGAGGAGCTATTTTCCAAGCTCACAAATCTAATTTTTGTGCTTGCATGCACCAAGTCCATCGGCTGTTTGACTACACAGAAACGAGGGAAGAGGAATGACAAAAAAAAACATCCTCCTTGCATGAATGTAAGGGCCGAAACAGTGGGGAGTAAATGGGGGTTTGATTTGCGCTCTTTACCTCTTGCATGTACCCACAAGCTTCCAAATCAGTCAAGGAGCAGCACCCAAAGGAGGAGCAGCACCTTCACCCTCATTCTATGCAAAATCTCGAGTTTTAAATCTGCATGCAAGGGGGAAAACTCCATTAAACCGAGTGGGTTATAAAGAAACCATGAAGTAAAGGAGACACATCACCTCCTCCTACTTGTTGTCCAGCCGCGCGCACAAGGGGAAAGGAAGGAAGAGTTTGAGTTTAGGTGTTGAGGTTATTTTCTTATGGACTTGCGGCTTGGTAGAATGGTGGAGAAGGAAAGGAATACAAGCTTAGTTGATAGGTCTTTCTCTTGGTGGCTGGCGGTCAAGAGTGAAGGAGAGGATGGCTGGGTTTGATTCTGACTAAAGGGATAAGCACTCAGTTTTGGTTGGTTCTCTTATTATGCGTATAGGGAAAAAGGAAGGGGGACGATAAAACTGATTAACATTCTGAACCAAGGACCAGCAAAAAAAATCAGATTTGCTTACTCTATCTAGGCGTATAGGGAGAGAGAATAAGGTGGATAAGTGGGTGGCCTCTTGACCAATACAGAATAAGCATGCTGATTTCTTAGGATAAGCCAATGGAGAAGGGTAAGAACATATTTTTGGGCTGAATTAAGTCCTCAATTTAGAGGCTTGGGCCGTGGCCCCTTAAGGGTCATTGGGTCCAAAAATTCATCTCCTAATGAACATTATTTTATGCAATCTACTAAGTAGTAACTATGATTTTTGTATGTTGTAATTAAAATTAATCGTATTCTTTTAACTAGTGTTTCGAATTCATTAAATACATACTCATCCATAATTGCATTTAAAATAATTTCCCAATTTATGCGGGATGTTATACCCCGGCAACGGCGCCAAAAACTTGATGCTCACCGGCAAGTATACCGATCGCACAAGTAATATAATGATAAGAAAAGTTCGTCTCCACAGGGATTGTGATCGTATATCAAATAATTGTTCCTTTTAAGACTGAAGAATTCAAATAGGTGTGTGAAAATTGTTGTGGATTTGAGAATAATAAGAATTAAAAGTAAAACGTATTTTTGAATTTTTGTTTATGAGAAAAAGAACAGAGAGTGATTTTTGTAAATAAGAGAAAACATTGTAGCTAGAGTACACTCACCGAATGATTCTCACTTCTTACTTTGGATTGATTTTCAATACTCCTTTATAAAATTACCCAGATAAATTATTATCTAAAAGTATTAATAGTTAACTCTCAATTCCTTGCAAGGTTAACCCTTTAATCCCAATTGAAACCCCAATTCCTTGCAATGTTTCTCATGGCATTAAGCAATGAACTCAATAATTTAAGCATCTGCAATTAAATACACATCTATTCCTAGCATGCATACTAATTTTTATCCTACCCCCTTTCAAGACCAAAACCCCAATATTCCTATCTAGGGTTCTAACCCTCAAACTATCATCAACTATTAGATTGATCAAGTCTAACAAAGAGAATAGAAATTACGCACAGAGTAAGATAAAGAAATTTATATAAACGAGTAGAATTAAACCAATCCGTCGTAACAAGGGTTCACATAAGGTTTGTGACCCTAACTACAATAAAGAGTACTAGCCAACCATTATCATGGCTAAAAATCCAATATTCAACATAAATTGGAAAATGAAAAGGGAAAGAAGAAGATGAAATAGATCACCAGAACCCTCTCTGAGCACCTCCGTCGTCTCTTTTCAATAGAATAGGATTCGATACCTAATTCTGTAAAAGACATCCTATTTATACGCCTCTTTTCCTTCTTCCAAAAATACCCTCGGACAGCACGGTGTAATTTTCCCGCAAACCGGCGCCAGTTGGCGCTAGTGTGGCGCCCCTTGGTGCCAAGTTTCTGGAAATAGTACCAACTCGGTCCTGTGAGCGGCGCTGGTCTACGCCAATATGGCGCCACTTTGCGCCATGCTCCTGTGAAATTTTGTGAAACACGTTGTAAACCTCGCAACCCGGCGCAAGGGACCCTTGGAGGGCTCCTCCACCCCTAAGCTCACTTCTGGTATAAACACAGTATAAAAATCCATGCATGCATCAGAATATGTATGACAATGCAGTGTGCAATAATGTAATCCTACTGGCCAGAGAATATAACAAGTATGCATTACGCAAGGAAACACCGTCTTGCAACATACCGTATGAGGAAACACATCTCATACTATGCATAAAGAAACACCGTCTTATGCCTCACACAAGGAAACACCGTCTTGTGTGGCACACAAACATACATACATATACATGCAACATATACTACCACCCTCCCTCGGAGTTTGGTGGAACAAACGAGGGATTAACCCCAAGG